CTGATGGCACCACTGTGGTAATCGGTGTCGAGGCGGATGGGGACGATGGTGCACCCCAGACGCCTTCCTGACCCTGTAGGCACGCTGTCCCGATCAGCTGCCGCGCGCTGCAGCACGCACAGCCCACGAGAGCCCTCGCCGTCCCATCAACGGCGGTATGCGCGGACCAATTAATTCGGGCTGCCGCCACACCAGATTCCATTCTTTTTTTTTTACGACAGGAAAATAAAACAAACCGAAATCATCAGTCACATCAGAACCCTCACAATTTAATTGCACCGTATATACAATCCCAGACTCGCCCGTGCAGAGCAGTGCTGCACGAGGTTTCGCGCAGCGCTTGCATGGTACAGCATTTTTCTAAACTCGTGAAGCTGAACAGAATTGTGCCCAAGGTGGTGGTGATCGCAACTTTAATACTGTAGGGATAATTCCTTTGTGTGGATTTTTGAACATTTCACACCGTCTTACTCCCTTAAATGTCGGGCCAATCGGGACAATCCCGATTCTTGAATGCCGTTCTTCCCGAAAGGATGGGCCCCATGCCCCAGTGCCTTATGCCCCCTTTACACAACGTCTATCCATCTGTCCACAGTCCTGTCTCAGCCCAGGCCATCTACCACCTGCCTCACTGCAAGAACCTCACATGGCCAGAAACCACTGGCACGTGAGCTGTAGTATCTTGTCCTACCCCTGCAGCTAGGAGCAGTGGCCCATCGGAAAACATTGGGAACAGGTATAAAGAGGAGAACCTGTGCTGCCCTCCAGAAAAATCTCAGAACGTGTCCATTTGCAGTACTCAGAGGAGCTGTAACAGCATGTCAACTGGGCTTGTCATCGGGTATGGATTACTGCTCTGGCCAGGCTGACCCATCAGACTGACCCACCAGGGAAATACCACACAGGGACCACCGACAGAGACCACTCCGAGGGCATCCCAGTGTGCCCTGGGCTCCCCCCTGCTGCTTCTGTCTCTCAAGCTCGCCTTCTGCCTCCGTCACTGTCTGTCCGTCCGTCCGTCCGTCTGTCTATCTGTCTCCGTCCCTCAGTGTTGGTACTGAAAGTGCAGGATAATCCATAGGAATCGAAAACGTTATTTTTAAAATTAAAAGAAAACAAAACATCTATTATTAGTGCCACTTGTAATAGAAAACTCCAGGCCCCTTGCTCGGTCTTGCTCAGCCCCGGGAACCTCCACCGCTCTCCTGGGAAGAAAACCGTAGCAGGAAGCGCTCTCTCGCTCTCCCTCCCTCTCTCCGTGGCAGCAGCGCAGGGGGACTTTGGGGATGGGGATGGGGGCTGGGGGGGAGGGGTCTCCTCGGCGCCGACCCCCTGAGGGGGCATTAATTGCCACAGCAGCCCCGGCTGGACTGGGCGTCGGGGTCGTGCAGATTGACCCCCCTGTGCCGCGCTGCGTGCGTCGGGTGCTGGGTGTCTGTTTTTGGCATTTTCTTGGCTGGAAGCAGAGAAGGGAGAGGGTTCAGATGGCGCGCGTGCAGGCTACACAAGACTGACACCAGCAGGGGGCGGCGGAGGGCGGGCCTCACCGATGGCCAGGAAGAGCTCGTTGACGTTCATGGCCGTCTTGGCGGATGTCTCCATGAACAGCAGGCCCGTGTCTTCGGCGTACGTCTGAGCCTCCTGACGGAGAGAGAGGACATGACGTTGCATCCATTAGCCTTATCGCATCTTGAAGTTTAACACTCTTATTGCGAAGGTGCGATATTGGCATCAGACGCGTGCCCACAAATACCGAGTCTTGCCCTCAGAGGATTAGAAAAACTGTTCATGTGGATTACCCGTGCTCTCTTGGCTTTCCGGTTAATAATTAACAATATTATTAATTAATAATATCCAATTGGAACAAACACCGTGAATACTTTTTTCCCCACTTAGATTAGATTAGATTTCACTTAGAGGCACAGTTACACGTCCTCTCGCTAACCAGCAGAAAACCTTCAAACGGTTTCCAGACTCAGGGTCCCGATTTTAAGCCCTTGAAGGATTTAGAAATACTTATAGATCCATTCATTCACTGTAAGAAAGCCTGCATTACCATCAGAAATAATTTCTGTGACTGACGCTTTTATTTCAAGACCTACATTTGGACTCATTTCTACAGAGGGGTATCTCGCTGGAGCACTTCAGGTGAAGCGCCTCGCTCAGGGGGACAGCAGCGGCCTCTCGCCTGCGATTCGAACCCAGGGCCTTCTGGCCGTGAGTCCAGCGCCCTCACCACTGCCCCGCACAGCTCATTACACCCAAACGATGAGAGGAAGCCCAGCTCTTAAAGACCCCCTGGGACACCTGCGGTGACTAGCAGCGCCAACCCCGAGCACATGTCCCGTTCGTCTCTGCTCGTAGCCTGGGCTCGCGGCTCTGCTCGTGCCACTGAAGCGCAGGGAGCCAGTGAGCTCCGATGGTAGCCCTGCCCCTGCCCCTGCCCCTCCCTAGAGCCGCGCGCCGCCCCTACCTCGTACTCCACCATGCGCTTATCGGCCAGGTCGGCCTTGTTCCCCGCCAGCGCGATGACGATGCTGGGGCTCGCCTGCCGCTGCAGCTCCTTCACCCACGCTTTGGCACGCTCGAAGGTCTCCTGCGCGCAAGCGGACACGCACGGGACGGTAAAGCAGTCGCCGCGACAGGCACCAGGCGGACGTCTGTCAATCGTTATTCTAATATCATTCGAGCAATTATTCCATGCTTTTCTGGACGCCCCACTCTGGACGCTTTACAGGTAATGGGGCTCCCCTCCACCCCCTGGATGATGCGACGGCAGACAGAGTGCGCCAGTACGCTCCCCACACACCAGCTCTCAGTGGGGAGGACAGCAGAGTGATGGAGCCAGTTCAGAGACGGGTATTATTAGGAGGCCATGACTGGTAAAAGCCACGGGGAAATCTGGCCAGGACACCAGGGGGGACACCCCTACTCTTTCTGAGAAACACCCTGGGATTTTTAATGACCACGAGGAGTCAGGACCTCGTTTACAGTCTCATCTGTGCCTTTTTAAAGTATGATGTCGCTGTCACTATACTGGGAAATTAGGACCCACACAGACTTTAGGGTGAGCGCCCCCTACTGGCCCCACTAACACCTCTTCCAGCAGTAGCCTTGACTTTCCCAGGAGGGCTCTCATCCAGGTACCGACCAGGCTCTTGCTGAGCTTCAGTGGGCTGCAGTGTCATAGTACTTTCTCTTGATATGTAAGCTACAATACTCTGTTTCAGCACGTATTGCCCGTTGTTCTGCAAATATATTTTCTGCGAATACGAATTTTTGATAAGCTTGGCCTAACCCGGTCACATCCACAACATCTGCTGGGCCCCGCGAATCTGGACCAGCATGCTGTCAGCGCAGGCGCGGCCAGGCGTACCGGCTTGGTGATGTCAAACACCACGATGGCAGCCTGCGCCCCGCGGTAGTACATGGGGGCCAGGCTGTGGTAGCGCTCCTGCCCGGCCGTGTCCCAGATCTCAAACTTCACCGTGGTGTCGTCCAGGCAGACTGACTGGGCCAGGAACGCAGCTACAGGGGGGAGATCAGTGTGAGCAAGGCAAGAGGGTTTAAGAGAGGGGAGCAGGAGAGAGGATGCAGGGGAAAAGAAAACGACGGGAAGAGGGCAGAAACACATCCCATTAGACAGCAGGAATCTACAGAATTTCTGAAGACATGTTCGCCTCTGCCCTAAGACACTGGGAACGCGTCTCAGCCCGATGCTATGGCAGTCCCACTTGAGTGGAGTAAACCAATGAACTGTGATGGGCTGCTGGACCTTTCCTCATTTGTTAACTTGCCTGTGCTCTTAGAGCCGCACACTGGCCCTACCTCGTTCTTCTCTGCCAGGTCAGCCTTGCTCCCTGCCATTATGAAAACAATGCTCACCCTGTGGGAATGTGTCCTGTGCTTCTCCTTCACCACCTTTCTCATCGTGTCAGAGAGCTCCCCTCTCTCTCTCTCGTCTCTGTGTCAGTGTGTCAGAGAGCTCCCCTCTCTCTCTC